AAAACATAACTTTTCTCAATTCAACTTAAGCAAATCAATGAAAATAATATATTTTTAAAAATTTTATGAACAACAGTTGACTCGACAATATTATAATGAATTTATGAATTGCAAATATTTAATTAAAATATTAATTAAAAAATTATAATTAAATATAATATAATATAGGATATACAAATATTTTATATATAATGGGGCAGATGATTGAAAAAATTCTATACTTTATATGATGTCTTTTTGGACAAATCTACAGTTAAGAACATGTGAAAGAACAAGATAAAGGTTTTAAAAAATATTAAATATAAGAAATAATATGAATAATAACTAAGTTGTGACACGTACTAATAAATGTAAAATAAACTAATAAACAAAAATAATATAATTAATATAACTAAATATAAACCTTCTAAAAATATACTTATCAATGTAATCGAACTGAGTTGTTAAACGCTTGTTAGTTTTTTGTTCTTATTAATTTTATTTGTAAATTTGAGGTGATAGACAATAGTTATTTGTACATTTATACATGTAGATTAGAAAAAAAAAATCTTTATTATTTTAATTTAAAATAATATTTTTATTTACTATATTAGTTTTTTTAATATAATATATAAGTATCATATTGAACAGATAAAACAAGAAATATTTTGATTATATAATGTTTAATATGTAAGAAATGTAACTCAATTGGTAAATTAATAGGTAATCTTGGGATAAAATAATGAGTGATTTCTGAAAAAAAAAAGTATAGGAATTAAAATGTTCACGTGTTTAATATATTTTTAACAGAAAAATTGTAAACACAATTACTCAATAAATACTACATAAAAATATAAGAAATCTTATATCCTCCCTATATATAATTAAAAACATAACTTTTCTCAATTCAACATAAGCAAATCAATGAAAATAATATATTTTTAAATATTTTATGAACAAAAGTTGACTCGACAATCTTATTAATGAATTTATGAATTGTAAATATTTAATTAAAAATTTTAATTAAATATAATATAATATAGGATATATAAATATTTGATATATAATAAGGCAGATGATCGAAAAAATTCTATACTTTATATTATGTCTTTTTTGACAACATGTGAAAGTATAAGATAAAGTTTTTAAAAAATATTAAATATAAGAAATAATATGAATAATAACTAAGTTGTGATACGTACTAATAAATATAAAAGAAACTAATAAACAAAAATAATATAATTAATATAACTAAATATAAACCTTCTAAAAATATACTTATCGATGTAATCGAACTGAGTTGTTAAGCACTTGTTAGTTTTTTGTTCTTATTAATTTTATGTGTAAATTTGAGGTGATAGACAATAGTTATTTGTATATTTATACATGTAGATTATAAAAAAAAATCTTTATTATTTTAATTTTAAATAATTTTTTTTATTTACTATAGTAGTTTTCTTAATATAATATATAAGTATCATATTGAACAGATAAAACAAGAATTATTTTAATTATATAATATTTAATATGTAAGAAATGTAACT